CGTAGCGGCGCTGCGCTCACGGGACGCGGCGGCGTGAACTCAGACCGGGGCTGGCGACTGAGGCGGCGCCGTGGGGCGGCAGCGCCGAGCAGGGCCGAGTCCACCGCAACGCCCGGGCCTCGCTCCCGCCTCACACAGGAACCTCCCCGGAGCCCCCGCACTGATTATCTGCCTTCCTTCCCCCAGAACACCCGTCATTTGTACCGCTGCTCCGACGGAGCACTAAAACTGTTGGGTAAAGGCAAAGACACCACCCGAGCGCGGCTCCAGCGAGGCAGCGCCACAGCGCGCCCTCGAGCCGCGTATGCAGAGACGGCACCAGGCCGCCGCCGTTACAACTTTTTCTTTTGGCTACAGTAACCCCACTCCGTGACAGACTCATGTTGCACTCTTACCCTCAACGCTTCAAGTTTCCTAACACTGCAGACACAGAGGACATCTTCCATGCAGAAACAGGATGCAAATTTTTTTATTCCATCAAGGAGTGATTACAAAAAACAGTACACTGGTAAAAATCAGAATCTGCCAGTAACAAACATTCAGTAAACATTTTATTTAAATGCAGATAATCACAACATTTGGATACAAGAATGCTCAGTTGTGCCTGGCCATTTTGACTGTGAGGCTGGGGACTATGCCATGATTGTACACACTGATCAGAATCAGTATTTGAGGACAGCTCAGCAAATGGAAGACTCAAATCAGAAAGAAAGTAATAGCCACTCCAAAACTTCTGAAAAGTCCAATTCAGACCAGTTTCTGAAAGCCTTTCTGATCCCCATCATCCGAAAGGTTTTGTTTTACACATATAGTTTCATAAAATAAAAGGCCCTCAGAAGAATCAAATGCTTTTCGTTAAGACCCTCACCTGCTTTATGGGCACACTTGCTCTGTCCCTTCTCTAAGGCCTGAAGTCTTGCATCTCTCAACTCTCAACACACAATACTTCATGTTTCTGTAAGTCTTTTTCAATATTCACCTACAGAAGCTCTTATAAATGTGTCTCCGAACAGCGCCTGTGTCCTGCCTTCAGCAGCTGCTCAGGTTATCTTTGGCTGTCATCTCCGCTGTGCTCAGGGACCGATGCCCAGAATCCCCTGCCAGTGCAATGCACGGTTCTGGCTGAACTGCTGAGAGTACACATCAAGCAGGCAAAACGCAGGCAAAAGTATCTTGTTGTGATCCATTATTCCACAGCCCAAATGAAACAGGAGTAACTTGCAAAACATAGGACAGCTTGGCACAAAAGAGCTGTCTGTGAGCTGCTCTCAGACCTGCAGGAAGCTGAACTATTTCCTGAGTGCTAGGGAAAGGGCCATTGTCTCTCGGGTCTCACAGCTGTAAGCAACAGAAAAAGCAGCAATGCAAAAAGCCAAAAAAACCCAGAACCAACGCCATGTTTACAAGCAGAAGGATTTTTAACAAGGAAGGACACTTTAAAGCTTTAGTAAATTTGCTGTTTCATTCCTCCCACTTTTCCCTTTTCAGGTGAAGGCACACGTACACACACAGATCCCACCTGGAGCAGCAGCAGCCAGCAGGAAGGTGAATGCTCGGTAACCGTCCTTACACCACTGAACAAATGTTCATCTTAAAGCCAAGCATGGAAACGGCTGGCAGAAGAGTTTGCGTAGGCTTAGCTTAAGCTTGAAGTTCTAAACTTCAGTCATCCTCATGTGGATCTGTCCTTTTAGCTTTAAACAGTAAGGAGTACTTCGGACTCTAAAACATTGGAAAATGTAGTTCTTAAATTGAGACTTTGAAGTTTATCGGGCAAAGGAATCAATTTTCATCAGCCCCTCCTTGATTTTCATGCTCAACAACGTGGACAGTGGAGCACGTTCCATCACAGAGCATTAAGAAATTTGGGGAGTGATAGAGACTAAGCTGCTGGACTAATAGAAGTCTTTTCTTTTTTTTAACCCTTGTATTTGTCTAGTAGCTCCATTATGGGTAAACTCACCTGCCAGCAAATAAATACTTCAAAAAGTTCATTTTAATTGCACCAAGTTTTAGATGCATCACCACTCATCCCATAAATATTGAATGCCAGGACTAATTACCTTACAGACTACGCAGGCACTGCTCCCTGGGACTAAGTGACATCATATGTGTCGACACCCAAATGGGCAGCAGAGCTGAAGGAAGAGGGTAGTTTTCACAACAGCTTGAGCAAGAACTCATAGGTTGCATTGATTATGCCCCAGGACAGGACAGAACGGTGGTAATTCAGATGGGCTCCTCTGAAAAGGTGGATCAATTTCCTATCACGTTCCAGCCAGATCTTCACAAAAACTTCTGAGAAGGACTGGAATTCACCACCAATTTGAGCCTGCATGCGAGTTTTTACAACATTCACTGGGAAAAACAAGAAGCCCAGCATGGCGCCCAGCAGCCCTCCGCAGATGAAGTCGTTAACCAGGTGAGCGCTGTAGGACGTGGCCTCAGGCAGACACTGTTTGATGGGCCCCCGCAGGCCAAAGAAGAGCGCGTTACTGGGTCCATTCCGGAGCAGAATTGGCACCAAACCCCGATAATACTCTCTCATCCCATAGACTTTCAGTACCTTGAAAGCCTGGTAAGTGTTTGTAAATCTATCGTGGTGTTTGTAGTCCTGAAGCAGAGTCTGAACTCGCTCGAAAGGCGTGAGAACAGCCTCCGTGGTCCCCGCCAGCACAGCGGCCATGCTGCGGGTGAGGAGCTCGGGGGCACTTGTGTGGCTGTGGAGCAGCGAGGAGAAATCCTCGTACAAGCCGAACATCAGAGCCAGTGTTGTCGTTTTCTGCATTAGCGGAGGAAGGATGCCCCGGTAGAGGTTTCTAATTCCATCCTTCTGCAGCTGCAGCACCGCATCCTTTGTCTTCAGACCGTACAGCTGCTGCCGAAAGAGGACCTTCTGGATAGGAAAGGTGACGGCGATATTTGTGAAGGCCGCACAGTAGCCACAAAGATAATGTTTGCCAGAGGTAGCTGTTAGGTCATTGCTTAGATGTTCCTTTGAATTCGTTGGGGCAGAACCTTCTGAATCCATCATACTGTTTGTCTTATACAGCATGCCTCAGTTCTCCTTCCCTACATCACAAAAAGAAAAGAACGAATGTGAGCAGAGCTGCAGGTAACCCTGCAGCTTTTTTCACACTAGTGGATCACTCAAGCAGCACCTGGTACCTTAGATCTGAGGGGAGCCCAGAAAACTTGAAGGAGAAAAGCAACAAATGTCAGGTCTGACGGACGCTGCGCTCGCTCTGTTCAAGTCCCAGAGAGCTGAAAAAGCGGCAGTCGATCACTTCTGTACACGTTAAAGTTAAAATAGAAATAAATCGGGAAGGAAATTGAGGTATGCACTCCTCAGGTGCTACATGGCATCTGACACGTTCTATTTCCCAGTTCGCTGTGCCAAGGAATTCAAACAGTGAAAGGTCTGCTCTCACACTAATAAAATACACATCACCAGCACGGTGGAGGGGGGGATGACTGGAGAGAATCTAAAAAAAAAATAATTAAAAAAAGAAATAAAATACATGCAGTAGGCTTAAAAATTCTCGTCACTCCACTGTGCTTTTCCTTGAGGCAGAAAACAACAGATAATTTAAACAATTTGTTGTGGTTTAACCTAGCCAGGTTAAGCACCACACAGCCACTTGATCATTCTCCCCCCTGCCCCAGTGGGGAGAATTGGAAGGGTAAGTGAAACAGAAACTTGTGGGCTGGCATAAAAACAATTTAATAGTTAAAAAGAATTTTTAAAAAATTTAAGGGGAAAAAACAATAAAGAAAGGAAAACAAAACCGAAGAAAACAAACAAACAAAGCAAGTAAGTGATTCAAATGAGAACAATCGCTCCCCACCGACTGGGGGATGCCCCGCCAGCCTGAGCAGCAGCCCGCCCG